GTGGGGCCAGACAAGCAAGCAGGGCCCTGGCAGGAGGCGTGTAATATATTTACACTGTGTCTGCCTCCATCCAGAGGCTGCAGGTCTAGAATTTGCAGTGTTGTATATCAGCACATCCTCCATAAACTGAAACCCAGGGGCATGGGTGCCCTTTTATTCCCAGCCACCCCCTTATCTGCATTTTTGAAGCAGGGTGGTGGGGACTGAGACACAGAGAAACAAAGAGGACAGAGATAAACAGAGGCTGAGAGAGCCTGAGAACATGCACTCCTCCATGCACTGAGAAACACAGGAATAAGCACACACAGGAGGAGGTCCTTCTGCAGTTATGTCTCAAGTCCTGCCTTCCCCACGGGTTCGGTCATAGGACCAGACCCACACTTCCTTCCTTTATGCACATCCGTCTTGTCTAGCTGTCTCTGTGTCTGTGTTGTTAATCCAGCCACTTTTCAGGGTGTTGGAGAGAAGGGGCTATCTCACACATGTGGCCTTGAACATGGATGCACTGGGCACATACTTGTTTCTGATTTTGCCTGACTGCGAGGCTGCGTGCTCTGTTTCAGAAGACACTACTCTTGAGCAGTCAAGCTTTTGTGAAGCAATTTGGATGTTTTTGACTAGACCAAGGATCGGCAAACTTTTGAGATGGAAGAGCCAATCCTGTCCCTCACAACAATTTAAAAATTATTCGAGAGCCATAAAACAAATGAAATCACCATTATGTGAATAATAGCCTTTAAAATTTGTTGTAAAAGAAACTATGATAGTTTTCTTTTCATTTTCAATTTAATTTCAGAGCCACATGTACATAACCAAAGAGCCGCATGTGGCTCGCAAGCTGCAATTTGCAGACCCCTGGTATAGCAGATCCTACAAGATCTGGCTGTGTCACCTCCTCTGACTCTTGCCTCATCCACTCTGCTCCAACAATACCAGCCTCCATATAATTCAATGAAATCACGAGGTATCATCCTGCCTCAGGAGCTTTGCACTTGCTGTTTGCACTGCCTTAAATAGCTTCATAGCTCACTCACTCACCTCCCTCAGGTCTTTGCTCAGATGTGATCTTCTCAGTGAGGTCTTTATGACTAAGCAATGACTATGTACCAGGCACTGTTTATGCACTCAGGACACAGCAATAAATAAGACAGACATGAATAGCTGCCTTCTGGGAGCTCACAGTCCATCAGAGTGACAGGCTTGAAATAACCAATTCCAAAGGCTTTTCCGTAGAATTGTCTTAGAAATTGCCTGAACATTTATTCCATTTCCAGTCAGACTTGCCTCTTGTGTAGCAGTAGTGATAATAATGCACTTTGGGGGTTGNGCCAGTGAAGCAATGTCCTCCACAACTAGACTGAAGAACAAAACAACAGCAACTTGTCTGTTCCCCTTCCCCCAATTCCCCAATAAAAAAAAATCTTATAAAAAAATAATAAAAATAAATAAAAGCAGGCCCCAGAGTCTGTATGCTTTATAACTACTCTATGTTGCCCTAAATAATCCATAAATCAAAGTATTTCAGGTAGTAATAAATACAATGAAAGAAGTTGTTCTGGAGTGTGACTGGGGGTTAGGTTGAAGGGGAAGGTCAGGGAGGACAGTGGTGAAGGGGTGATGTTTGTGTTGAGACCTGAGCAGCAAGAGGGCACCTTCCTCTCTGTTCTCTTATTTCTCTTTCTTCAGGTGTCGGTTTGTCTTGATCTTGTTTAGCTTGTACGCAGTGTTCTCCTTCATATGTCTTGAGAGTTTGGGTCATTGGTTCCAATATGAGTATGGGGGACCTTTTCTAAGCAACAAGGTGGGTTTCCTCTGCTGTTGGACAGGGGACCAGCTTTCCTTATTTTATGGAGGAGGAAACAGACACAAAGAGATTTGCAAGACATTCTGTTAAGTGAAAACACAAGTGGTAGTAGAACAGATCTGTCCAACAGAACTTCCTATGCAAATGTTCTAGGTCTATAGTGGCTGCAAGCCACATGAAATATGACTAATATGACCAAGGACTGGAATGTTCCATTTTATTTAACTTTAATAGATTTAAGTGTAAATAGCCTTATATGCCTAGTAGCTACTATACTGAAGAGCACAGTAGACTGTATATTGCATGATTTCATTTGTATTAAGAAAATTGTGTGGACCTATACATTTAATGATGTTTCATACTATATTTACGTGACTGAGTTTATGACTAGGACCTATCCTTGAAGGGTTAACTCTTAAGCTTTGTACAGTGGTTACCACTGGGTATAAGGATAAGGCATGGGGAAACCTTCACTTTTAATTTTATATACTTCCACATCGTTTGAATTTTTTTTACAAGAAGCAATTATTACCTTTTTTAAAAAAAGAGAAAAACATATGAAACAAAAGTGCACACAGGTGAGGATCATCATTTGCTTTTGGTTAGTTTCTGTAGAATTCAGCCTGGTCCCACAGGGAGCTCTGGGTATGAGCTGCCCCAGAGGGGCCGTCCTGCTCGGAGGCAAGGGGGCAGGCTGGGCTGTTGTACCCCTGTCTGTCAGTCATCGCTTCTAGGTCAGAGAGACAGCTGGGGGATGGGTGCTCCAACCTGATAAAGCGGGTGGAGGGTGGTGCCAAGAGTGGCTACACTCCTGCCCCTCCTGACCTGGCAAGGTGTAAAGAACTCCTGAGCTGATGTAGGTGGCTCCCCATGAAGAGACTGCGTTTTTCTCTCCACATACCCATTCCTGCTTTCGTCACTTGCCACCTTAATGATTGACACTTAGGGAAAGGTGGGGACTGGCTGGTGAGAGGGTGGCTCCTGGTCACATCTCAAAGTCATCTGACGACTTCTTTTTCCTCTGTTTGCAGGTTGGCTGCCCTGGTTGATACAGGTGAAATCTGGTAAGAGACTCCCCTGATTGAAGGCAGTTAGATCTTGGGCACCCACCTCCGTCTCTCAGTCTTGACAAATGATTAATGGGTGTTGTGACGACCCCCACCTAATGGGATAGTTGTGAGGATTCAATTCCTTGTGGCGTTGTTAAGAGTGGGGCTCTGGAGTCACACTTTCTGGGTTTGAGTCTTAGTTCTGGTGCTCTCTGCTGTGAGGACCTCGGGTGTTTTCATAAATTCCCAGGATTTCAGTTCCATGAAGATGTGGGTAAGAGTTCATCCTACAGGGTCTTAATGAGGAATAAAGGAGGTAAAATAGAGGCAGTGACAAGAATGGTGCTTGGAACACAGAAAGTGCTCAATTCAATTAGCAGCCCCCCCTCCTGTTCCTTCCCTCCTCCTCCTTCTCCTTAGAGACAAGTTATCTGGGTTTTATTGGCTGGGCTGCAGCTGGGCCAAGGCTGGTAGCCAGTGCCGGGCACAGCCAGGACAATGACCAGGACCCCTGGACACCTTCCCAGGATTCGTCCATTCTGCTTTGCCCTCCTCTTGCATTCGGACTTGTGGTGTGACCTGGGGCAGGTTATTCTAAGGCTCTTGGGCATCTTCACATCTGCAAAATGGAGTCATTTACCTTGAAGTAGGGGGACTAACTGTCCTGGCTTGCCCCAGACTGCCAGCAAATGGTGGTTTACTGGAGTGCTGGATGTTGAGTGCTAAAACCAGGAAAGTCCCGGGAAAACCAGGATGACTTGGTCACCTCACCTTGAAACATGATCACGGGGACTGAAGAAAATGCATGGAAGTTCTAGTTATATATATGTGTGTGTGTGTGTGTGTGT